AGACAGATCAGCAACAGGATTAACACTAGTAGGCAAGGGTTGACCTTTATTGGCATATCGTAAGTTAGTTATGAAAGTAAGAAATTTTGCGAACAACAGCTCACTACACGACTTCCTGACGCCCCATATGCGCTTAATCAGCACCGGAACCTCCGGCGAATTATGATAAAACCGGATAGAACCCCTCTGCAAAGATCAACTTGGCCTACTAAATCCTTTTATGCGAAGAAAGAAACCCGTGCGAAATGAATCACAGAACCCCAAGACACACATGCGCAAGAAATTGGAACGCACGCTGCGTCTTTCCTGAAATCATTTCATTCTTCACAGCGACTGACATACCGTGATGTGTAAAGCCCTCAAAAAACGAAAATAATAAGGCTATTTGCTACGGAAACAACCATACAGGCTAACGTTATAGGTGAGAAGCGACGGTGGATGTAAATGGTTCGTTACATAGGCGAACAAGGTGCCTTGAACTTGAGGGACGTTTGGACCATTCTGAAATATTCATCACTAGGTGAGTGAGCGTGTATGTAGCTCTGAACCCACCAAGGGTGAACACGGAAAAATGGTTTCGGAAGGCTCATCGGAGGCCACGTCGGCAATACGACATGAATATGAACCGGGCATTCGATAAAAGCGCACCTAAGGCAGTATAATTATGTAACGCTGTTAAAAAGGCAAACACCGTGCCCTTTTAACATCTTTGCTACCTCCGTCACTTCACCTGAAGTCACATTTCCATGAAGAATGAGAAAATTGCTCAGTTCCACACAGGTTACACGTTTACCGTACTCCTGAGAGATAAAGCGCCTCAAAACAGGCGTGCGCCTGGGATTTGAAGGATTCGTATCTACCTGCGTTTGGGCTTATGCATAAGCCTAAGTCCTATGCCGCAGTCACGAGCGCTAGCACCTCAGCAAAAACAAGGACAACCATAGCTGAGAACAAGGCCTCAAAGAAGAACTCCTCACGGCCCAGGATAAAATCAAGCAGCAAAAACGTGGAACTAAAGCTCGTGTTAAATAGAGTAGCGCAGCTTGTGGAACTTGTCAGAGAAAAGAAATGTCCACCAATGCCAGCATCACCGGAACGAGACAAGCAACCTGTTCGCAACCGCTGCCTGATAATCACAAACGTCCCAGAATCCAAAAAAGAGACTCCAGCTGAAAGATGCTCGACGACCAAGCCTTCCTTAAACGAATGGTCTCCTTGTTGTTTGACGAGCATGAGCAAGGAATAAACCTAATCTCAGCTTTTCGCCTTGGCAGAAAACAGGAGGACCCAGCCAAGTTTCGTCCTCCGAAAATCATCTGTCAGGATGAAGAGGAATGCCAACGCATCCTGAGACGGACCCCGCGCCTCAAGGGAGAAACATTCTACGTTCTGAAAGACGTCTCTCCGGAGGATCGAGTCCGAATGATTCAAGCTGTCTGCGAGCTGCTAAAACTCGACGCGCAAATGGAGAAACATATCTACACATAGTGGAGTTTCGCGTAGTCAAGAAACCTCACAGAGATCAATGGAGGCAAATCCTCCTTCTTCCAGGACCTCAAACATACATAACGGACTAGGGTAATACTCGCGAATGGGCGCAGTTTCAGAAACAAGCTAGATGAGATTCCACTCCTTATCTCTGAACAGCAACCGGACCTAATGGCGTTCACCGAAGCCTGGCTTTCATCTGACATATCTGACTCGGAGGTTCATGTTTCAGGATATCAGCTACTTCGATGCGATCACTTTGGTGGGAGGTCTCTAGGCGGCGTAATCCTCTACACAAAGAACTACCTCAAGGTCCATGTTGTCGAACCCGATTGTGACAAGGATGATATGTCGGAAATGCTCTGGCGAAGAATTCATGACGGATACCAATCGCTGCTGGTCGGCGTGGTCTACAGAGCCCCTGCAGCACCTGGCTCACACTTATTACGTACCGTGCGAACAAACAGCAGAGGAACAAATTGTCTCCTTATGGGAGACTTCAACTCCCTCAAATTAATCTGGGACTTACGTCACAGTGACCTCTCACCTGACTCCTTTGAAGTTGATCTCCTTGATACCGTTCACGAGTGCAACGTGACACAGCATGTCTTGACACCAACGCGAATAGTCCCTGGTCAGACACCAAACATTCTCGACCTGGTTCTCACCTCGGCACCATCTGGTGTCTCAGATCTAATGATCCTCCAACCTCTTGGGACGAGTGATCACTGAACAGTCTCCGTTTCGTGGACACGACGCTTCACAATCCACGATCAGGGGACACTGCGCCGAAATTTCTGGCGTACTGACCATCCCAGATTAAGAACGACTGCAAGTAACATGGACTGGAGTACGCCGCAATCCTTGGAGCTTGATGTCGTATGGGAACGCCTACGATCTATGATGATGCGGCTCATTGGACAGTTTGTTCCAAACTGCAAGAGCAGACCGCCATCCAAAGGACCTCCATGGATTGATAAAGAAGCAAGATCCCTAATGAAAAAACGTCGAAAACTATGGGATCATTTCAAGAACACAGGACAGACATCAAGCTGCTTAGAGTACAAAATTGTCAGAAACCTATGCACCCTGAGAAAACGAGACAAAAGACTACAATATGAACATAGACTGGCCATGGAATCCCAAAACTGTGCCAAAAACTTTTTGCCTAGTTGAAGCGAAATGCCAAAACTGGTAGTGGAATCCCCGCTCTATCCTATTTTAAGGAAGGTACCGTTCTCTACGGTGATGATAAAAAAGAAAACCTACTGGCTGCGCAATATTCCTCGGTCTACTCAGTGGAGTCAACACTGCTGAACAACTGTTTGCCTGCACACCACTCCTCTATGGACCAAGTTGAAATTAACCCCGAAGTGGTCACTAAGCTACTCCTCGAACTGCACCCGAACTCCTCTCCAGGCCCGGACGGATTGCATCCCAGCTTCCTCAGAACGATAGCTGAGTACGTCGCCGCCCCTCTCTGCCAAGTGTTTCGGCGATCCCTAGAAGTCGGCTGCCTACCCACAGGCTGGAAAGCAGACGCCGTCCTGCTCAAATACAAGGGGGAAACCAACAAGACCCAGCCAACTACCGGCCCATATTTCTGACATCAGTAGTATGCATACCCATGGAACGGATAGTCAAGTGCGCTCTCCAGCGACACTGGGTGCATCTAAACCTCATCTCACCTGCTCAACAT